GATACTGCCCAGGTAGGGCAAATTTTGGTATTAATGTGTGTGTGTGTATGTGCGCGCGCGCGCGTCTATCTCTTCACTCTCTCACTCACTGGCACAATCAGAACTGCAATAACAGCAGCACCAACAACAACGACCAGTGGTAGTAGTAACGTTGTTTGTAATAGTAGGGGTTGTACTAGTGGTCGTAGTGGTGGTGGTGATGGTGGTAAATGTGGTGGAGGTGGTGGTGGTGGTACTGGTAGTTGTGATGGTAGTGCTAGTATAGTGTTAGTGGTAGTGTTAGTGGTGGTGGAGGTGGTGATGAACTTTGCGGACTAACGGTTAACTGGCATCAACATCATCACACTTTACGAGAAAGAAAGAGATTCCGGCCCCGTTCAAAAAGTCGGTACAACAACGAACGGTATCGTACGTCATATATTAAATAGCCCGCCAGTCAGTGTGTGTGCGCGCGTATGTGTGTGTGTGCGTGTGTGTGTTAGAAGGGATAGCTTTAGTGTGGCGACGACGACTCTCCGCCCGGTGCGTGCCTGCCTGGCCCCGTCTGCCTGCACGACATACACGAGTAGTATGTTACAGAACAGAGTAGAGGTGGGCAAAATCCGGATAAACTATCCCGAAAATCGGATAATTATCTGTGAAACATTGTCCGAATTCAGACTCTTAACTCTCTTTCCTGACCCGCTTGCCGAAGTGGGTACACCAAGGAGATTAAAAGAAAGTTAGTTCTAAGCTCCTTGGAGTGCACCCATTTGTTAAAGTGATGCTAACCCGTTTGTTGAAGTGGTTCTAACCCGTTTGCCGAAGCGGTTCATATCATACATTGTTATTATTCGACGAAGAGGTGCTTTGACATATTATTATCCGGATTTTGCTAAAGCGACTCATTGCCCAGCTGTAGAACAGAGGCATCGTCCTCGGCCCAGTTGAGCGAGCTTTGTCGAGGGGCCCTGCTCGCTGGACTCGGTGTGTGTGCGAGTGCGTTTGCGTGTGTCCGCCTGCCCGCCCGTCCGCCTGTGGTAAACAAAACTGTTCCAGGAATCCGTCCATCTGTCTGTTCGCGATCGAGATTTTAGTCGTCGTTGTGAGTGAGTGAGCTTTCGTGACTTATTGTGTGTGTGTGTGTGTGTGTGTGTGT